TAAATATATATATAGATATAGACAGTAGATAGAGAGATAGATGGTATGACTAGTTAGTGAACTACATAGAATGAGATTTTAGTTACTCAACTGGCGCAGTCAAAAATAGAAACTTAAACCAGGCGCTCATCGAATTGCAATTAAATATTTCTATAGCTTAAGCTTACAATTTTGTATTCAGTTATCGTGTTTTGTATATATGTATCTGTATAATATATTGCTTAAACATTATTTGTTTGCATATGAAAATCACAGAGTGCCATTTTTACAGTTAACTGTTGTACATATGTATGTATGTCTTTGATTCTGAATTGCGCGCAGGTACTTAAAAGGCGAGCGACAGAGACAGAGACAGACAAAGTAAGAAAGAGAGAGAGAGAGAAAGAGAGCGAGAGCGAATAGGAAAAGCTGTCACGAGCAGCAATCAAACGACGCGCGCAGCGTGTTCTTTTCTTCTTCTGATTTTGGCAGTCTGGCAACGCTGTGCGCACTGCTTTTACATATTGCGATTTATAACTGTTTCTTAGTGCTAAGAGCCAAGCCGGCGCCGCCTTTGCCATCATCGGTGGGGGCATCGATGTCGAATGTGCGTACCACGCCCATTCTGGGTGTTGCTGTTGTTGTTGTCTGCTTTTTAGCATCCAAATAGGCTTCGAATTTGCTCAAGCTCTGCTCCACTTCGGTGCACATTTTCTTATAGTTGATCGGTATGGCCGGATTGGCAATTAGCTCCTGCATGGACCAAACATGCTGAGGCGTTGCAGCTACCAGAGCTGCCGTTACTGATGCTGTTTTGGCAGTTGCTGCTACTGGCTGTTGCTGACAATGTTGTTGTTGTCGGTGATGCTGCTCCTGCTGGTGCTGCTGCTGCTGGTAGCGTTGTCGCCGCTTGATGATGCCCAATTTGCTGAGAAAATCATCGTTGCGCTGCAGCACATAATAATCATCGTATTCATCATAGCCATCATAGTCCTCATCATCATCATCGTCGTCCTCGTCCACATCATCATCATCATCATAGTCATCCTCGGCCAGCTCCTCACCCTCGGCATCCTCGTTAATAACATAATCATGCATCATATATCGATAGCGCAGCATCTCACTGCGATCTGCATTCGCCTCAGCATCGTAGCTGCTGCGCTGCTGCTGCTGCTGCTGCTGCTGTTGAGCAGCGCTCAATGGCATATCAATCGGATAGGTTCCATTGAATACAATATGAGATTTGCTTTTGCCACTGCTGCTGCTGCTGGTGCTTTTGCTTAGGCTATAGTTGTTGCTCGAGCTGTGTTTTGTCAGCGCTAGGCTGTAGCTCTTGCTGTTATCGCTATCGTTATCATTAGCGTTATCGATATCGCAGTCTTGCTCCGCTGCCTCATCAATTGTCGTGGGCAGATCAAAGTTGACGCGCTTAACACCGCCTGTTGCTGCTGCCGCTGCTGCTGCTGACACTGACACTGACGCTGTTGTTGTTGTTGTTGCTGCTACTGTGCTTGTTGCTGTTGTCGTTGTTGTGGCTGGCTTGGCTAACACCGGCTTGGCTGGTATGAAGCGCGTGGGCGTGGTTAATGTTTTGGGCACAACATTTATCAAATTGCTGTTGCTATTTTGAAAACTATTCACGCGACTAGCAATTGTTGTTAATGTGGCTTTGCTGCTGGTTGCTGTTGCACAATTGCTGCTGCTGCTGCTGCTGCTGCTGTTGCTTCTACTGATGCTGTTGCTGGTAGCATTATGTTTATTTATGGCTATAATGCTACTTACATCATTCAAATTAAATGGCTTCGCTGTTGTTGTTGCACTCATTTCCGCAATATTGTTGTGGTTGTTGTTGCTGCTGCTGTTGCCAAATTGCAATTTGCGTGACAATTGTTTGCTCTTGTCCTGGTCATGGCTGGCGCAATGCATTTGCTTGCCATTGCCAGCAGCGTGCAGCTTTAAGGCATTGTGTTTAAAGCGATTGTTGCTATGGTCCATCATGTTGCTGCTGCTGCTCTTGCTGCTGCTGCTGCTGCTGCTGTAAGCACTTGGCTGCGGCAGCTGCAATTGTTGCTGCTGTGTTTGCTCCACATCAGCATCTGTTTCAGCTTCAGCTGCAGCTACAGTTTCAGCTGCTGTTGCTGCTGCTACAATATTGTTGCTATTGTCTAGATTGCTGCTACTCATGTTGTTGCTGTCGTCAGCAATTTGGTCATTGCTCTCCATCTGCGCCAGCTGCATTCCAAGTGTTTGTGTGTGATTAGAAACATTAGCAACAGATTGCTGATTGAGTATTGCATGCAGCGCGCTTTTACAATTGTCGCTCTTAACAAAATTATGAACAATTTCCAAAATAAAACTACATCAAACAAATCATAAACTTAATGCCAACTACAACAGCAAGATCGAATCTAAATAAATTTGTATAATCATAGTAAATGCACAAAATTTATAACCAAGAAGAAGAAGAATGGATGGGCTCTGAGCAAAATTTGTAACTAAAACTGCGACGCAACTGTTGCCGCTACTGCTGCTGCCGTTGCGGCTGCTGCTGATGCACCTACCTCATCGCCAAACGGCTGCTGTCCATCCCCGGGCCAATAATCGTAGCCAGATGTTGCTGCTGGCTGTGCATCATAGGCTGGCGTATTGTGGCTGCCATATGCCTCGGTTGCAGTCTCAATGTGCCCATAGACAGCGCCCGGCTGCAACTGTTGCTGTGAGGGATCATACAGGTGTTGCTGCTGTTGTTGCTGCTGCTGCTGCTGTTGCTGTTGCTGTTGCTGCTGCTGTTGCTGTGCTGCATTCGGATCGTAATACAAAGGCGGCGCATAGCTATCGGTGAGCGCTTGCTCGTGACTCGGCTGCACTTGAGCCGATTGCTCATAGTATTCCGGCTGTTGTTGCTGCTGTTGCTGGTGCTCCTGCTGCGCCTCCTGCTCGCGCTGCATGGTGTCCTCATATTGCATGTTCAGCTCGCGCATTTGCTTATTCAAGTCCACGAATTGCTGATCAATATCCGCTTGCTGTTGCTGCTGCTGTAGATGTTGTTGCTCTTGTGGCTGCTGCAAATGAATCCGTCAACAATTGCCGAATATGCAACAGCTGCCAAAACTCACCTGATCAGCCAGCGCACGCAGCTGACGCAGCCATTCCTTTTCCTCAGGTGCACCGACTTGTGGCGCCGCCTGACCGCCATTAGTTGCATTCGTTGGACTTGCAAAGGACACACGATTGATCAGTATGGGATCATAATAGCGCAAGCGCTCGGCCAGCCCGCAAACCTAAACCGAAATATCACACATTACTATATGTATATATGTATATAAATATTTATGGAGCTTACGCGTTTTATAAAGTCCGCATCATAGCTATCCGGCTTGAGCTCAATGTGATTGGCGATCTGCTCCAGATAGTTGGTGCAGCGGAAATGTTGCCCATAGTCCAGGATGCGTGTGGCCAACAGGAATTTGTAGTGCTGGAAGTTCACAATGCTGAACTTGTTATCGAACAGCGAGCGTGCGTACTCGTAGATCTCCGTCATGATGATTGCCTCGTTGCTGGCAAACTCATTGAACGGCTTGTAGTGTGAGGCGCCCAGCAAGATGAGCCTGCAAAGGAAAGCATAATCGAATGAATGAAGATGTCCTCTAGAAAGCATTTGAATCTATCAAAGTTTGCTAATCGATATCTATTGATAAGACTCATCAATAAAGAGAGATGGAGCAGTTCTATAAACTTTTAGATTCAACTTGATTTGAGAGTCTTACAAATGTGTTTTGGATCACACTGGAAGACTAGCAATAGATACAGATAACTATCGATTATTCGATCGATTATTTGATCGATTTCTCAGCTTGATCAACTCCTACTGTCTGCTCACCTGGGCACATTGGCTGTCAGCGTGGTCAGTTCCGTGGCACCGCTGTCGTAACGTCCGAACTCCTCCTGTGCAACTAGATAGCAGAAGTGCGCCGCATAGATGTCGCCGCGCTGAAAGAGCGTATCGCCCAGAGCAACCACCGAGCTGCGATCGTATTCGGGCTGACGCGATTTATTGGTCACCAGGATGGAGAGATGCGAACGCCAGTCGCCCCATTGCTCGTCGCGCAGCTGGCTAACGCAGGCGGGCGTATGGCAGCTCTTCATCTGATAGAGCGTTTGGAGCGGGTCGTTCGCTTTGATGGCGCGACTGAGAAACTTTTGTGCCACATCTGTGAGGGCATAGCGATCCTCGTAGAGGGCCAAGAAGAAGGCGTGCGTCCACAGGTTGTGATCGGTGGCCCATTGCAGCGCCTCCTCGACGTTGCCGCGCAGCACAAAGCTGCGAAACTTGTCGGTGGCAGCTTGCTCCGACATGGGCGCCTCTGTGGCAGCCGCATCTGCATCAGCATCCTGTTCAGTCTCCGCAGCCCCAGCAGCAGCTGCAGCAGCTGGAGCTTTTGTCACAGCCTCGCCATCTGAGTCATTGGCAGTCTCGCTACGATCTCCCACGATACGCACAGCCGCTGAGTCAGCATCCGCTGAGTCGGTGTCCGCTGATTCGGCATCCGCCTCAGCTTCCGGTGCATACGGATATTCGCGCTGATTCTCCAGCAGCAGATCGCCCACATCCGTGTCGGCAATGACCTGGAAAGGGATGCAACGATGTTAACGCGCTGTTAAGTTGACGGCAAGGGTCAAGCGCTCGACTTACCCCATTCTGTCGCAGCAGCAGTATGAGTAGATTCCACATGAGTGCGTGCGAGGCACGATATTTGTCCACGCTGCCCAGCGGCTTTGTCTGTGTGGCGTACAGAATGCTGCAGGAGCGCGACGGGCCCAAGCGAATCTGCTCCTTGCAGAAGCTGATGATCTTGTCCTTGTGCAGCTTGCGACCCTGCAACGGGCCGGGATAGGCGCGCAGCAGACTGCTGGTGGCATCCTTGATCCTGGGCGCTGCCACATCCACCTCGTTGCGCAAACGTCCGGGTCCAGCGTACATGGGGCGCACGCGCAGCAGCACGCTCATCGAGTAGTTGGCCACCAGGTGCGGCTGATTGTGCAGCAGCGGTGTGCGACGTCGCGGCGGACGCGCCACGCTCACGTTGCCCATTGCCGTGCCGTCCGCATTGCTGTCGAGAGTCGTTGTTGTTGCACCACCAACAGCAGCTCTGAGCGATGTGCATAAAGAGTTACAAGATTAGTCGGGAATTGTGATGGACGGGGGGGAGTTGCATAGAGAACAGCCACAGGCATTATCCGAAAATCATAAATCAAATAAATCAATAATCCAAAAGTTGAATTCCAAAGCAAAAATACATGCAAAAGGGGCGTGGCAGTGTAACGGCTAGGCTTGACGGCGGATAAAAAGAGTTGACAGTGTTTTATTTTTGTTTCCCCCAATTACTCCTTATCTTAAAAGCTGAAACAATGCGCGCTTTGATGATAAGCAAACACCATAAACAAATTAGATAGATTGTCAAGACATAGGTATATACACGGAGAGTGTATACCTGTACCAGGTAGACCACCATCTGATAAATGAGAAAACTTTCCTATAGTAAAAGTTAGCTATCTATCAAGAGAGAGGGAGAGAGACAGAGAGAGAGAGAGAGAGAGATGATAACTAACGTCTCATAATTTAGCTGAAGAGAGAGAGAGAGGGACTCAACACAACAGTTAGCTGTTAAAAGACTGTAAGAGAGAGAGAGAGATATTTGTATATTTACAATTTCTTTTCTATACACTGAGAGAGAGAGAGAGCTCTTCCCCTCTTTCCCTCTTAAACTGCTGTTTAGCTAACAGAGTCTTCGCTATGTTAAGTCAATGCTTAAGCCGATTACAAACTAAGCTCTGCATGTTGACTGTTAAGCTGCTGTTAACTGTTAATGGAGCGCTGTTAATAGTACTTTAAGTTATCAAACACAGCATAAATAAATGCATAGTCTCTTCTATGAGTTTATTGCAAGCATTGGTAACAGCAACAGGCGAAAGCCAACATTAACAGCGTCACATTAACATTAACAGAGTTGAGAACATCTAGAAAAGCCTTCACTCGAAGCCCTATTTATCACTTCCGATCGAAAAATATTTGTGTTGATATTCCCAAATGTTATGATGTGTGTATATAGGGAAAGATATTTACATAGTTGATGTCTAAGCAGCGCAGCTAACAGCCAAAAGCTGAAATTTCCCGAAAATTTCAAGTCAATAAAGCACAAATTTGGAATAGAAGAAAACTCTACGCAGAGGATAGATAGATAGGCAGCACTATAATGGCAAAGATAGATGTAGAAGATGTGTTATTTATGTGTGGATGTACGAAGAACTTTGGAACCATGTTGAAGGCATGTTTTTTGGAAATAGCACAGTCTACGATGAATTTCGAATTTCCCTTATGATGTTTTACTAATCTGATACTCTTGCAACGGGTATAGAGAAAATTGTACCAAGTTTTTGTTTATACATGTGCAAATATGATTGGGTCTTACAGCCCAGTTCTATTTGAGAGAATCGTATTTGTGTATCTAGTTGAAAGTCAACTCGTTTGCCTTGAAGTGATCACGCTCAATATATTCGGCATTTTGTTTCATAAACAAATCTAGATTTCTATACATGCGTTGAGTATTTGCTTATTTAACTGTATAGGGAGTTATCATATTCAGACTGAGTGACGCTTTGGTATTAGGATACAAAGGTATACCCTGAACCGTGTTGAGAGCGGTAATTGACCCAATGACTAGATCGATTCGATTCGATTTCATTGTTCTGATCGAGAATACTATAGGAAGCCTATTACTGATTCTACTTCATTTTACAATTCCCATTTTTAGTGGGTTATTCCGGGTATATTTTAGGCTATAACTCCATTTAAGTCTAGCTATAGCTTATAATCAATCTTCTCAGAGCACTGCAAGAGTATTCAAACTTTGGCATGCCAAAGTCAGCTGTTCCATTCTCTACTTTGATGAGCTTATAGCATGAGTGTTAGAGAAAGAGAGACAGAGACAGAGAGAGCGAGCGAGAGTTTGGGTTTGTTTTTCTTTTTGTTTTTTTGTAGAGACCACCTGATATCGACGCCGCATTCCGAGCCAGCATAATAACGCTTATATCCGGCTATCGTTGCATCCTCACAGTTCAAATTGCTTAACGAACGAGCGCTGGAGATGCCATAGGAAGCCAACCTGAGATGTCGATTGTTGCTGTGTGTATCGCTGCCATAGAGGCTGGCGCTGTCATCGCCCCCTAGTGTGCTGTTCAATAGATCCGAATAATCATGTTGCTGTTGCTGCTGTTGTTGTTGTTGCTGCTGTTGTTGTTGCTGATAGAGATTCAGTTGTTGGCGACGACGATGGAATTCATTGGCTTGTGTTATGTATGCGTGTGTGTACCTAAAGAGGGAGCACATGACGGCGTTTGGTTGTTGTTGTGTGTGTGTGTGTGTGAGTGTGTGTGTGTGGTTGTTCGAGTTGTTGTTAGAAACGAAAAACATTATTTGCTTGTTGTTGGTTGTTGGTTGTTATTCTTGTTGCTGTTAGTAGAAGAAGACAGCACAACTGCAACGAGCAGTACTTGGAATGCTAGTAAGGAGTACTTCTTTAGGGGGAGTTACACAAAGCGCAGCGAGCAAATCGACAAATCGACGAACTACTGTGAGGGAGTGAGAGAGAGTGACAGTGGATGGGAGAAAGAGAGAGCGAGTTGGTTTGGCTTTGGTTGGATCTGGGGGATAACACATACATAATTATTTACGCTGGGAGTTTGGAGGGAAATTTCTTGACAGCGCCGCTGTTAGCTCAATGTTAGACAACATAATGTTAAGTAACATAACGAGTAAGCCACAGAAACTAAACGAATATAAGCAGCGAGAGCACCAAAATAAAAGGAGCTCAGCGAGTAAGTGAGGTGAATTGAGTTGAGGTAAGTAAAGGTAGCTACGACAACATGCCCAAGGAGTTGTAAGAGAATTAGGATAACAAAAAAGTTAAAGTAACGAGTAACGAGTAACGAATAACCATTCAAGAGTAACGAGTAACGAGCATTCTTTTACTCTGACCAAAAAAACGCAACTCTGCAGACGAGAGTTGATGAATTCTACTCTACTCTACATAAATATTCATACACAACTAATACTAGCTTGATCCTAACAATCTTACATCTGAAGAATGTTGGAATGAAACAATCCTCAGCTAAAACCAAACGAAGAACTGTTTTTAAGAGAGTGCTATTATTAAAATTTTGTTACTAAGTTTCATGCCTAATTAAATGATACTGTTCCATTCCGAACGTTCCTGAGTGAGCTGTAATTGCTGAGCTTCAACTATCTGCATTTCTTGGCGACAAGAGTAGATATGACTTAAGTGTTTCATTTCCAGTCGTTCCAGTCGAGTGTGAACTAATAAAGGACAGGTAGACAAGTGTTTATTTTCTAATCGTTCCCACACCCCCTTACAACTATGTAGCCTAAAATTTCAGTCATATTTATACAGGCATTTCATTTCCAGTCGTTCCAAAAGCTACAAAGGCTACTGCTGCTGCTTTGAAAAAACCACTCGAGTGTTTCATTCCCAATTGGTCCCACGGTTATTGTTAACAATTTTGGATTTCTTTCCACATGATTAATATATATTAATAAGTGCTTAGTCAAAGTATTTGTGAAAGTGTTTCATTTCAATACGTTTCTATTTAGTTGATATTCTATTGGGAATTTAGCCCATTTTGATGGAATTAGTGGCATTAACTAGTGCGGAGCCATGGATTAAAATAGATAAACCAAGCAACTGGTGAACTAGCCTACTGGATCAACTGCTCAATCTGCAAAGTTGGCGCGCATGGATTGAGATTGACATTGGATTCAGGTTTGTCCGTGGCACTTACCTTTCCCGCTCACTGAGCGCGTCCTCGCTGCCAACGCCGGCAGCGGAGCCAGCGCCGGTGCGGTCCACAAAAGCCCTGGGATCCATACCGATCAGCTGATCGTGCATCGGGTGCTTTGCTACCTTCGATGCGGCGCCCGCATTCACCGCAGCGCTCATCATCATCTGGCCATACAACTTGGTGTAAATGTCCATATAGGCGCGCGGATCACACGACATCTGCTCGTAGATGCTGAACGGATCGTAGCCGGCCGTTGGATTTGCATACTGTTCGTAATTGCGTCGCTTGCTGCTGCCATTGACCGACTCCTTCTTGAGGTCGCTGTTGCGCGAGCTCTTGTTGCGGTAGCCCTCGTAGGTGCGCGCATCCCATTGCTGCTGCTGCCAGTCCGCGTGATGCGAGTGRCGCCCTCGCTCGCCGCCATCATGGCTGCGTCGGCTGCTGCGAGGTTTGTCCTGCTGCGAGGAGGGAGCCTGCTTCTCCGAGCGCCTCGAGCGATAGTGACTGCCGCCGCGTGGCATCGATCGCATCTCATAGTCATCGTAGTCGTCGTCGGCGGCCACAGCGCTGCGGCTGTGGCGGCTTCCCTTGCTTTTGCGTCCGCCTGTGCCGCTGCCGGCAGCGCTGCCGCCGCCTCCGCCGCCACCATCGCTGGCTGCCGCCTGGACGGCTGCGTCCGACTCGCCGTCGTAGTTGCTGTTGTTGTTGCTATACCGCGACATTCGATATATCGTATCGTCGCGTCGCCACGTATGGCGATCACGCTCCCTTTCGCGTTCCCTTTCACGTTCACGTTCCCGTTCCCGTTCCCGTTCACGTTCACGCTCTCGTTCCCGCTCCCGTTCTCTGTCGCTGCGCTCTCTGCCACTGCGCTCCGGCTCATGTCTGCGATGCTGATCCGCATCGCGGCTGCGTCGCTTCATATCACGGCCCGATTTGCTGCTGCTGTTGCTCTCGTTGTGGCCAGCTGGGCCTCCGCCGGCACCGCCGCCGCCCACAGCACGTGCCGAATCCTCTGTTTCGCCTTCGTAGTTGTTGCTCGTGTTGTTGCTGCTATAATGGCGGCGATTGCTGCGCAAGCTGCGCATGCTCCGCTCATCCGTCTGTCGTCGCGGCGGCAGGTCATGCCTATCACTTAGCAGCCACTCATCCTCGGACTCATCCTCCGACTCCAGATCGAGCGAGGCCGCCGGACGGGGCTTGCCACGTGCATGTTGCTGCTGCTGCTTCTTCTCTAGCAACAGTTGCTGTTGTTGCAACTGCTGCTGCACGCTCGTCTCATTCTCCTCATTGCCAATGTGATGTGTTTGATGTATTTCCGTATCCAGTTCAATTGCAGCGGCTGATCCCGATGCACCTGTACTCACTCCTCCTCCTGCTCCACCAGCTGCTGTTGTTGTCGGCACTGTCAGCGACGCTGGCGGCTGCACTGGCCGCTGATCCTCCAGATTCTCGCCGTCAAGCACCACCTCACGTTGCTCTCCGGACAGCACCACGGCTTGGGCGTGCGTCTCCACACCCGTTACTACGCGATGCGCTGATGTCTGCATCTGTTGCTGCTGATGATGCTGTTGTTGTTGCTGTTGCTGGTGCTGCTGATGTTGTTGCTGCAGCTGTTGCTGTTGTTGCTGCTGCGGGTGGAAGAGATCCGTACGCATCGGCTGCTCACCCTCGGAGGTGTCCTCGCCATCGGCTTGGCGGTCGGACATATGCAGCGCATTGGCCACATGACTGGCTGGCTGCTCGGTACCAGTGACCAGACGTTGCTGCTCCACCAGCTCCGGCTGTCCCAGCACAAGTCGCGACAGGCCTGGCGGCGGCAACAGTCCATCCGCCTCCCAGTTGCCCTCGTTGGCCTCCTCCTCGTGCTGCTCAGACAGATGACTCGTCTGCAGGTATTGTGCACGCTCGTCATTGGGCGCTGCTAGCAGTACCTCCTGATTCTCGTACGGCTGCTCCGGCTGGCTTGGTTCCGGCATCAGCATCTGTACAGGCGTTGCAGCTGCCATGGGCACAATTGGAGTTGGTGCTGGTGTTGGTGCTGCCGCTGCCGATGCACCTGGTGTGGCCAATATATTCACGCGCTGGCTTAGTCCACCGGAACGCTTGAAAGGATTTCCGGCTGCCGAGTCCATTGTAGGCGGTGGCAGCACAGGCGTCGCGGCAACAGGTGGAGCGGCCGGTGGAGGAGCAGTCACTGGAGGGGCTGCTGCTACTGGAGGTCCGGCCACTGAAGAAGCTACAGGAGGCTGATTTTGGAAAGCTTGTGGGGGCACAATGGCATTCAGTTCGGGCTCCGACACGGGCGACAGTTGCTCCGCGGAGGGCGATAGCAAAGGCGGCAATTCCAATGATTTGCTTGGTTCAGTATTATTATTATTGTTGTTGTTGTTGGTATTGCTGGTATTGAGGTTGTTGCTGGTGTTTAGGCTATTACTAAAGGTGTGCCAGGTGCTCTGGCCCTGCACGTTAAAGGAATCCTCCACAATGTTAGCTACCGGCGGCACCTCATTGTGGCTAATAATGCCGCTGTTGTTGTTGTTAGTGTTGCTAATGTTGCTAATGTTGTTATTGCTGTTGTTGTTGACGTTATCATTCCAATCGCCCCAATCACCCCATCCATCATTTTTGCCACTATTATTATTATCAAAGAACTCGGCAGCTGGCTGTATCTGTGGCTCCGGCTGCTGCTGCACCAATGGTGATGGTTGATAATATTGTTGTTGAGCGGACATCATATCGGACTGTGCATAGGTCAGTGGGACAGCAGGTGCTGGTGCTGCTGCTGGAGCGGGAGCAGAAACAGGAGTAGGAACTGTTGCAGGTGATCCATAACTCAGTGGCTTGGGTTGTGCTGTGCCGGCAAAGTAATTGTTATAGCTGAGCGACGACGACTGTTGTTCCTGTTCTGGCCAAAATGCTTGTTGGCCGGGCTGTGGCAGCTGTTGTTGAAACATTTGGCTGGCATAAAGCTGCGGCTGCGGCTGAGGCTGCGGCTGAGGCTGCGGCTGAGGCTGCGACTGTGACGGCGACTGATTGTGATGTATTTGAGATGCCTGCTGCTGCAATTGTTGTTGCTGTTGCATTTGCTGTTGTTGCTGTTGCTGTTGTTGCTGCAGACGATGCCGTTGTTGCGGCGGTGGCAGCCAGCTGGCATTGTTGTGCAACATGTTGTCGCAGTGCGTTAGCTGGGAAAACTGCAAGAAACGAAATCGCAACAGAAAGAAAAACAGTTAAAAGTTTAAAAAAATTTAGTGCTAAACAACTTTTTAAGCGCAATGTTAAATAGCTGGCAACGGCCAGGCCTTTCTGTTATTATTATTATTTTTCTCTCTCCATTTTAATCCCAATTGAGTATTCACAGTTATTTCTCAATTGTGTATGTGCGATTGAAAAAAAATGCCACACAGCTTTTCGGTGACAGCTGTGCTCATTTCACGTTAGGATAACGCAATCGAATGCTTCAATACCTGCGCTTACATCGCCTTAATTATTATTTGCAGATCACAATTGCTAATTACTGTTGCTGGCAGGCGACTTTAGTCTAGGGGCAAATTGCAAATTAGTTAGGCTTTTGACAACAACAAATTAGAAAAGAGAACCAATCAAGTGTATGTGTATTTGTCAATTTGTTATGCCGTGCATTGCTTTGCTCATGTCTTTTTAATTATTTCTCTTGTGTTGTTGTTGTGCAGCTTTTTTTTTTTTTTTTTTTGTATAATCCAACGATCACAATGGCTGCAGTATTTTTTTTTTTTTCAACAATAACCACGTTGAGCTAAAAGTTTACGTGGACTTTTTTTTTTTTTACCCCTATACCAGCTTGAAGCACCCACAGAAACGCACTTTTTTTTTTTTTCAATCACACTGACAAACTTTTTCGTCGTTTTTATTACCACGGTTTCGCTCTGGTATTTGTTGTTGTCGTTTTCGTACTGCTTGACACAGCAGGTTTTTATCCGCTCTGCGGTGTTTTGCACATGTATGTGTGTATATTATTTACACTTGCATTTTATAAAATTTAATAACTGTATGTTGTACAAAATTTTGTAAATTTTTGCCTTTTTCAACATCAACGTAAAGTCAAAAGTGAAATAGCCAAATTGGAGCAGTGGTTGGCAGATAGAAAGAGAGAGAGACAGAAAGAGCGAGAGAGCTATGCTGCCAGAGAGCCGTCAAAGTTTCAGTCGAACTGCAAAAACAAATAGACGTACGCACACACACACACACATACACAGGGCTGTAACCGCTTAAATGTAATTGCTCCAAGTGGCCCGGGCGGTGGGGTAACTGGCACTTGCAGACAACCGTTTCGCATAATTAGGCATAAGCAGCTGATTAGCCGATAAGTAGCCGTCCATCATATTTATAAAAATAACAACAGCTACACCGTCGTACATGGACCGAAAAAAAAGTGCACACACACACATGCACGCACATACACTTGCGCCCCACTTCATAAGCACATCAACACAAACACAAGGTGTCAATCCTGGGCCTTTCATTTTTCTTTACTTGTTAGTTTGTCGTAATTGGTATGGTATTGTCGCTATAAACACTTACACGAAACTTTTCCTCAATTACGCCAGTGTGTTACTTATTTAATAATTTTCTGCAGTTTGGTTATTTTGTATTTAAATGGAATTTTTCGAGTACAAATGCCAACTCGACTTTTCGCAAGCGTTGCCAGTCTGTTAGCGATAGACTAACTTTCTTAACTAATATCTGTTAACGCAGCCTGTAAACGCAAAATTGACTCTTTTAACATATGTCAACGCAGACTGATTCACAACAGCTGTTAACAAATCCCCAGAGCGATGAGACCATATGTATGTTACTTTTAAAATACCAAATTTTAGATGTGAAATACCATAGACTTGCACATAAACGGTGTATTCTGAAGTTAAGCGTATATGGTCACTAAAACGTGCTTTCAATCTTCAAAAATTCAAGTTGTATTTGTATTTAAAATTTAATCGAAATGGGTAAAAAGGATAAGAACAAGAAGAAAGGCAAGGGTGCCGAAAAAACAGCCATGAAGACGGATAAAAAACTGGCAGCCAAACAAAAGAAAATGCTTGAGAAACTCGGGGAGGTAAAGCACGTTTCAAATTCTCAACAAGAGTTTATATACAACATTTTAAATTATTTTTTTTAGGCGGATATTGCGGATATTGTTAAAAAACTGGAAGCCCAAGAGCAGAGCTTAACGACCATAACCGAAAATGTTTGCGAAGCACCAACCCCTCGCTCCAATTTCTCGCTAGTAGCACATCCCGAAAAAGAGGAGCTCATCCTCTTTGGCGGCGAGCTGTATAATGGAGCTAAAGTTTGCATTTATAACGACTTGTACTTTTATAATATACCGCGCAACGAGTGGAAGCAACTGCGCTCACCGTCGGGCCCAACGCCACGCAGTGGCCACCAAATGGTTGCCACAGCTAACGATGGGGGCCAGCTCTGGGTAAGGGATTCGAAGAGATTCAAATTGGATTCTTGATTTTATACATTTTGCTGGTTTTTTAGCTTTTTGGTGGGGAGCACGCCAGTCCGTCACAGCTGCAGTTCTACCATTATAAGGATCTATGGACACTCAGCCTAAAGACGCGACAGTGGTCCAAGATCAATGCACCGAACGGACCCAGTGCCCGCAGCGGACATCGCATGGTCGTTTCCAAGAAGCGTCTCTTCGTCTTTGGCGGCTTTCACGATAACAATCAATCCTATCACTACTACAACGATGTGCACGTCTTCTCGCTGGAGACATACGAATGGCTGAAGATTGAAGTTGCGGGCCCAATCGTGCCGGCTGTGCGCTCCGGCTGCTGCATGGCCGCCGCACCGGACGGCAAGATCTACATATGGGGTGGCTATGCGAGGACCTCAATGAAAAAGGATCTGGATCGAGGCATAACGCACACAGACATGTTTATGCTGGATGTGGACAGTAGGGCTTATCTGATATCTACTGTTGCTTATCTAATTTGATTTCCTTTCTCTTCCAGAGTCTGGCAACGGCAACAAGTTCAAGTGGAGCACTGTCAAGCCCGGCGGCTATCGTCCGAAGCCGCGCAATAGCGTTGGATGCACCGTTGCAGCAAATGGCAAAGCGTATTGCTTTGGCGGCGTCATGGACGTCAACGAAGATGATGAGAATGTGCAAGGGCAGTTCGGGGATGAGCTGCTCGCCTTCGATATGAGCTCGCAGGTGTGGCGCCTGCTGGAGGTCGCAGCCAAGACCAAAGGCAGCTCCAAGCCGGATAAGGACAAGGTGCACGATGTAGAAATGGCTGGCGATGTGGCGCCAGCTGCCGAGAAGACGGTCACCACCAGCACAGATGGCATTTTCACTGTGACCGTGGGCGGTCCTGGGTCCAGTCAAGCTGCCACGCCCTATGTGTCCAAGATACCCAGTCTGTTTGGCCCACCGAGGCGCACAGATGTGCCGTCGCCACGCATGAATCCGGGCCTGTGCGTCTGTAAGGGCATTCTATATCTGTTCGGCGGGCTCTACGAGGAGGATGAGAAGCAGCATACTTTAAATGATTTCTATGCCCTGGATCTGCACAAGCTGGAGCAATGGAAAGTCCTGATAGCGGGCAATCAGAAGGCGCACGACTGGATTGATGACGATGAGAGTAGCAGCTCCGACGAGGAGTGCTCCGATGACGATGATGACGACGACGACGACGATGATGATGATGATTCAGAAATGGAAACTGATTGAATGCCTAATACACTGTATATAGTTAAAATGTATTTGAAGCAATACAATTTTTTCTATACACCTAAGCATTGAGTGTAGTTTATTAACTTGTAGAGGGCTAAAATAGTTTATTTCAAATATTTTCAAATGTTTATGAGTACCGTAGCTGGCAGCTATAGTGCACAGTAAACAAATGTATTAAATATCAACTAAAATACTACATTATTGAAGTATTATCAGTATTTTCGTATTAAGCAAACAGGTTTAATGTACTAAACTTCTGGCAAAATATACTAAAATGTAGTATTTAATGCATGCCAATTAGCATTTGTCCAGCGTACACCTGACCCGTAAACATGTTATGTGTGCGTGCGTGCGTTCGCATATCTCCCTGTGTGAGTGTGTGTGTGTGTGTGTGTGTCCGTGTGTGTGCATGTAGGTGTGAGCATGTGTGTGCGTATTATTATTATTGTTAAGGTTAACCAACAAGTTAGTTAAATGCTTAAGCGCTTGCGTATATAGTTAATTACTTTTAAGTTAAGTGCGACAAATAGAAGCTACAGATGCTGCGCCTACTCCTCAGCAACTGCAATCGCAGCGACTTGATCAGGTAACGCAGCCAAGTGGAGAGCAGCGGCTCACTTGCTCCACACGCTCCTCACCTCACACACAGCCTTGCCCCAGACGCCCTCATCACGCCTCCCCTGCACCCGTCGTCCACTCCCCTCTCTAGCAGAAACGCGCGCGCGTTTCGTTTGATGATAAAGTTTTTGCCCTTTTTGCTGCTTGATTATGTCATCAAATGTTGTTTTTCTATCGTTGTCGCTGCTGCTACGGCTGCTCCCTCATCGTCAACTCGTCACTCTGGGTGCCCCGCCAGTCGGAGCCTGCTGCAGCATCTGCCGCAGTCGCCGCTCGGCGCACGGCTCCAGAATGCCACCAGGCTGATGCGCCAGCATCAATGGGCCGGACCACGGCCGGCGGCCGCCAAAGTCCAGACGGCGCGCGCCTTGCTCTGGGGTGGCGGCTGTTTGGGCGTAGGCGTGGCAGCGCGCAGCTGGTGGACGAGTCGAGCGCTGGCCCACTGCGAGGCCAATCGGCTGGCCGGCGTCATACAGCACACGCTGCAGCAGGAGACGGATAAGAACTTTGACTGGAAACGCCTGTGGACATATCTGGAGCCGCACACCTGGGAGCTGATCGGTGCAATATTGGTAAGTACTGCCGCTGCTGTCGCTGCAGTGCATCCACATTTCATCGCTGTCATTGCAGGCAGCCCTAATCGTGGCATTCATAAACATCCGGATACCCAATCTGCTGGGGGATCTGGTCAATAGGCTGGCGCGCTACGCCAACACCTATGTGATGGACCCGATCAACAACTCCTTCGTGAAGGACGTCAGCAAGCCGGCCAGCAATCTGCTGAGTCTCTACATGCTCCAGTCGGGCTTCACCTTCGTCTACATCTACCTGCTGAGTCGCGTGGGCGAGCAGATGGCCGCGCGGATGCGCCAGGATCTGTTCAAGCAAATCGTGCTGCAGGACATCTCGTTCTTCGACGAGAACCGCACGGGTGAGCTGGTGAACCGCCTCACCGCCGACGTGCAGGACTTCAAGACCTCCTTCAAGCATTTCGTCGCCCACGGCCTGAGGAGCGGCGCCCAGCTGATCGGCGGCAGCGTCTCCCTGTTCATGATATCGCCCCACATGGCGGCCATCGCACTGGCCAGCGTGCCCTGCGTGGTCCTCTTCATGTCGTACCTGGGACGCAAGCTGCGCTCCCTCAGCAAGAGCTCGCAGGCGCAGGTGAGACGATGCTGATGCAGAGAGCTCTCCTTGTCAATTCTCTATATGTAATCTCCATTCCTTAGGCGGAACGTGCCACTGGCGTCTGCGAGGAGGCTCTGTCCAACATACGCACGGTGCGGTCCAGCGCCTGCGAGTACCGAGAGATGGAGCTCTTCGAGCAGGAGACGAACGAGGCGGCGCGTCTCGCCCAGGAGCTGGGCTACGGCATCGCCGTCTTCCAGGGCCTGACCAACTTCTTCCTGAACACCCTCGTCCTGTCGACGCTCTTCATGGGCGGCCACCTGATGTCCACAGAGAGCCTGACGCCGGGCGCTCTCATGGCCTTCCTGGTCGCCTCGCAGGGCGTCCAGCGCTCGCTCTCGCAGGGCTCCATCCTGCTGGGCACCATGATACGCGGCCTGACGGCGGGCAGCCGCGTCTTTGAGTTCCTCTCGCTGCAGCCCAAGGTGGAGCTGTTGCGTGGCTACGTCATACCCGAGGAGCGGCTGCACGGCGAGATTCGCTTCGAGAACGTCTGCTTCGCCTATCCCATGCGACCGGATCATGTAAGTAGTGGGCATATCCTAAGCTGCAGCTGATTCTAACATGGAATTCTCATGTCCGCTCTGCAGCTGGTGCTGAAGGACTTCAACCTGACGCTGCGACCCGGCCAGACGGTCGCCCTGGTCGGCGCCAGCGGCTCGGGCAAGTCCACCATCGCCGCTCTCCTCGAGCGCTTCTACGAACCTACCTCAGGCAACATCAAGCTGGACGGCTACAAGCTCTCCGACATCTCGCCCTATTGGCTGCGGGCCAATGTGCTGGGATTCATTGAGCAGCAGCCCATTCTCTTCGGCACCAGCATCCTGGAGAATGTGCGCTACGGCAAGCCGGACGCCAGTGAAACGGATGTCTTCGATGCATCCAAGCTGGCCCAGTCGCACGACTTCGTCACCAGCCTGCCCGATGGCTATGCCACGCACGTGGGCGAGCGCGGCACCCAGCTGAGTGGCGGCCAGAGGCAGCGCATTGCCATCGCCCGGGCGCTGGTCAAGAATCCGCGCATCCTCATCCTGGACGAGGCGACGAGTGCGCTGGACGCCACCAGCGAGTCGGAGGTGCAAAAGGCTCTAGACACTGCCGTGCAGAATCGCACCACCCTAGTGATAGCACACAGGCTGTCCACGATACGCAATGCGGATCTGATTGTGGTCATGGATCAGGGACGCGTTGTGGAGGTGAGGCGAAGAAGGATTCTGTTTTCCTAGAAACATCTATATATATATCTCTCTCTCTCTCTGCAGACGGGCAAGCATGATGAGCTGATGGCCAAGCGTGGCCTGTACTTTGAGCTAGTGCGTCAGCAGGAGCGGCGCGAGAACCAAGAGCAGATCCTCGACCAGGCGCAGATCCTGGAGCCGCCAATTAGCGAAAATTCCCCAAACGTCGAGACGACAAAGAATACAGTACAATAACATAACGACATATATATAGATATGTATCTATATAATTCCCCTGTACATACAATATTTTTTTAATTTATTTAATTGTTTGAGAGATTTACATTTAAATTTAAAAAACAAAAATCACAAATTCGATAAGTTAAATAGGCCGAACGACTGCTGTTCATGTTAAAAAACCAAACCGTAATGCATTATTTTCAATGTACATAAAGCAAGTCGATTATAATTTGTCAGTTGTTTGTTAGAAAAATATACAAAAATACAGATAAAAAATTAAATAAAAATTTAACTTTTTGCGAAACTAAGCTCGAGCCGTTAAAATAGCGTCTGGTATTTCTATGGTATTTATCGCGTTGTTTATTTTGGTATTAACGGTCTTTGAGATTTTCGGATTGAGTCGAGCGCGGTCGCACTATACACACAACGCTGGTCTCATTTTGGTTTTTTTTTTTTAAACAAATGCATTTGTTTTTTATTTTCGAACTGTGTGGAGTAATTGAAGTGGCCAAACGTTCAAACGCTTGTGGAAAATGGTGTGAGAACGCAATGCACCAAAATTTGCGATATGCATTAGCCAACAGCATCAAAATATAAGATAAAATTATGTAAGTGTGTTAGTGTGTGTATTGTTTTGTATGTGCGCGCGCGTACATGTGTGTGTCATGTGTATAGTTTTGGCAGTAACAACTATTAGTAAGAATGCAACAACAACTTTAACAACAATAGCACAGGCTTTGCCATTTGCTAATGCTGATGTCGTTGTTCCCGTTCCCCCACACACATTTCGTTCAACATGTCAACTGTTTTKTGCGCGCGTGTGTGTGTGCATGTGTATGTTTTTGTTTGTGTTTGTGCATTCGTCATATTATGTGTGTGTGTGTGTGTTTTTTTTTTGTTTTTCTTTTTAAATTATATGTGCATAACAACACAGCTGCGTCAGCTGCTACTGCTTGCTTCATTAGTTATATTAAGCACTGATACTATTGTTAAAAACACATGCAGTCATAAGTTGAGCAAGAGTCAGTCACAACACCATTTCTCAGGGTCAATGCTGGCAATAACAATAGGTTTCCCACCCCCAAGCGCATTTGGAATTCCCATAGAGTTGCGCGCTACAAATCCATTGAACTAGTTCCGTACGGTCACGTGATCTGCATAGATGCTGTGAATAATGTGTGGCGGTTATTGTGTATTTGTGTAGATATTAAATCAATATTCAATGTAATATGCCGGCTAAATGACATCATGTTCGGATTAGTTGATAAGTAGTTCGACTTGATTTGCACCCAGCTCCAGCGGCGCAGTTATGTGCAGTGTGTGTTGTAGTAGTTCATTTGCAAAACCGGTTCAGTAAACAAAGGCTTGCCAGATCGTTGCACAAACAAACATTGCTCTCATCACCATCATTGTGCTCTCATATGCTCTCTCTCTCTCTCTCCCTCTTCTCTTTAACCAGCAAGCGACGCATACATACACACATTCACATTACACACACATACATTTCCATGCATCAACAAAAAGAACAAGCACAACAACAGCGCACAGCGGTGGCGGCGACAGCGGCGGCTGCGCTGCCAGCTTGCGCCAGTTGCCTCTGCCCGCTGATCGCCAACAATCACAACGATGAGCCGATAGTGATGGCACTCGGCCAGCAATGGCACTGCGATTGTTTTCGCTGCTCCGTTTGCGACTCCCACTTGCATAGCTGGTATTTTGAGCGTGAGAACCTGCTCTATTGCCGCGAGGATTATTATGCCCGTTTCGGCGACGCCTGTCAGCAGTGCACGGCGGT